GGCTGGCTGTGTCCTCGGCACGGCCCGGGACTTGCTCGCACGGCCTGGGGATCCCCGGCGCTCCCGGGCCGTGCACCATGAACAGTGACTCCTCCCTCCATCTTTTTTTTTTTTTTTTTTTAAACCTGGAAAGGTTCCACGCGTGTCAAGGAGCGTTGCAGATTAAGGATGAGGGGAGAAACAAATCCCCGGTGGGATTGCATCGGCTGTGGCCCTGCCCGGTGGCGGCCTGTGCCTGCCTCTGCAGGGGATTTACTATTTAAGAGCTATTTTGCTATTTGGGGGCTTCTGGAAATCCAGGCGCTCGCTGAGTTGTGCTTGGCGGGTGTCGTGCGGCCGTGCGGGGAGGCTGCGTGCTTGTGCTTGCAGCTGGAGTAGGAAACTTTCCAGGAGTTTGTTCTCCCACCTGCAGGAAGCCCGGGCTGTATTTATCACGTCCGTTGTCTCTCATCTAGAAGAAAGCGTCAACCAGTTGAATCATAGTGACCCACTTTGGTCCTTGTAGCTTCTCAGAGTTTGATTTCCCAATTATAAGAGATGCTGAATTTAATTGCTCTTTGCAACCTTAAAAAACCCCAACCTCCAAACACAGCTGGAAATGAATAACCAGGCTGAAGGAGGATAATGGTGTTTCCTTGGGAGACTGAAGAGGACGTCTCTTCATCTGTTTTCCAGACAAAAAGGAAAAGACACATGAACGGTCCTCAACAATTGCAGAAGAGCCTGAGCCCATTTCGTGTGTTCTGCAAGGAGATGACATCCAGGCACTTGCCATTAAGGTGGAAGACCTGGAAAAAGTATGTATCTTTCCTGACAGAAACAGCTACCTTAGCTGACACTCTCATTTTGTGTTTAACAGAGGGTGCTGTTCATTTACTTAAACCAAAACCCACTCTCGGAATTCAGTTCTCATTCCATTTTGTGTGTCCTGATTTTTATGACTTGTCAGATCATCAGGTTCAGTTGCTAAAAGTAAAGGATTATTGACCCTTACGCAGTCTTTTGAAATAGCAGAGTAAGTCATCTGCCTCTTCAAAGTTACGTTACCAATTTTCTGGTCTTAAGTGGTTTAGTAACTATCATGGTGTCCTTTCCAAAACTCAGGTTAAACTGTGTGAGTGTAAGCATTTGACACCAAGTGACACAGCAGAAAACTTGGGAGAGTGATTTAAAACTCTCATTTCCCTGCTCCAGTTGCAAAGCAGAGTCCAGAAGAGCATGACAGTAACTAAGCTGGTATCTCCACGGTTGTGTAACGTTCCCCTTAAGGGAGGAACCGCCTGTACTGATATGACTTCTCTGCATATCCTAGAAGGATCAGAAGGAATGAAGGTGAGTCATTATGTACCTAATTGCATTGTGACTGTTTATTTTCTGAAGCTCCATGCTCCACACCTTCCCCATGATGCTGGGAGAATTCCAGTAAGGAGGAAATACCTTGTTCGAAAATATCAACCCAAAGAGGCAAAGAAGGCAGCACATCTCCTTGTAGCACATCCTGCTTCCCCAAAGGCACCCAGCGAACCACTGACTTTTTCTGGTAGGGTTAAACTTCACATCTTATTGTTGGATTTTGATTTTGCTGAGCCTAGTTTAGTGATGTGGCTCTGGGATTGGTTTTTTTTGTGTGTGTACTGTAGGACCGAGACTACTTGGCAATGGCTGTGAAGAGATTCTCCCCCATCACATTTTGGGAAGTCTCCAGGAGTTCAGGATGGAAGCCTTGGCTAGAGGGAACACTCAGGTTGGTTTGTAAAGTTAGGAAAATGCTGTTGTGCGGCACTTTTCTAGAGGTGGAGTGCAGAGCCTACAGTACCTTTCAATGCTTTTCAGCACCTATCAGGAACAGGTCAGGCCTGAGGTGTGGTTTTCCCAGCCTGTCATACTCTGCAGGAAGGGCTTGCTTTCAGAGAAACTGCACCAGCAGGTTTTAAAGCCTTGTGTGCAGGACAAGGTCATGGAGGGAAGAATTACAGAGGCTTCCTCTTCCATATGTGCTTCTGCTGATGGCGTCAGGCTTGCAAGGGAAGGGCTGGTGTTGCAGCAATGCCATTGCTCGAGTCTAATTACTCAGATAAATCTTTCGATTGTTTCTGAGTGTGTTCGTAGTGCCCTGGTTTTGTTCCTCTCAGAGTAATAAGGTAAAATTACTGTCAGCCTGAAGAATTCTTTTCCCTCTCCCATTTTCATGGTGGCTGTGTGTGCATAGAGGTTAATTTAATGTTTCCTTTCTCTTCAGATAGCAGACTTTATTGAGGCTTCTCATCCAGATGTTACTGCAGCAGCTTTAAAAGAAGAACATGGAGGAGAGAGGAAGAAAACCGTTCATCAGACCCCACTAGCAGAGCACAAAGCTCTACAGAACTGGCACCATAATATGGCAATCAGGAAAAAGCAGGAGAAATACCTGGGAGGTAGGAAGAGCTGAGGCCTTGTTCTGTGAAATCTGTGTGCGGATGGGGGAGTTTGGAACCACAACAAACTGTAACGGTTGTAGCTGACTGGGGTTAATCCTGTTGCTGTTGCAGTCTACTTCCATGTTCTCAGAGCTCCCCACTGCTAGTGCTGGTGGCCCTGGGTGCTGTGGGGAGGTGAGCTGGTGGTTCTGTTTGGGGGTAGGACAGTAGGTTTGGTGGGGGAGAGTGTAAGGGGGTTACACGTGAACAATAGTAGGGGTAACAGCTGTGCCCAGAAGTGCAGCACTAATGATTAGATGTTTCTTCTTTATAGAAATTCTTCAGAGGCCAGAGAATGAATTGCTGATGAGCAGCTCAGAGGATTACAGGCAAATCCAGGAAGAACGTGACCTCATTGACTGGAGTCTCCCTGCCCTGCTTCCTGGAAAGGCGAGTGCCCTACTTCCTCCGTGTCCTGATTGCCCTGCTCTCCTGCAAGAGCTAAGGCATGGGTGTTATGAGTAACATCTCCAAAGACCTGTCATTACATATTTATCAAAACCACTCTAGGTCCTTCAACCTAGTGTGCAAGCAGAGCTTTCAGTGACTTTAAAAATCAACACATGAACTGTGCTATCCATACTAGTTAGAGGAAAGTGGTGATGTGCTTTGGCTCCTTTTTAATGTGTCTATGGGCAAGTGCCATTTCCTGATTATCCCCAAAGGCTGTCATTCACTCGGAAGTGGCACGGGGATGTGCTGCAATTGCTGTTCCAGGGACAGAAACATCTTATAGCTTCAGGCTTGAATTTTAGCTATTGCCATGGAGAAAGGGGTAGGGGTAAGTCAGGAGAATTATGGGGGTATCCTATGTTAATGCTTTTTTAACATTTATAGCACTATCACAGAATTTGCATGTCAGGCATTATTTTAATATCATTCAACCTTCATGTAGCACTAGCTAGAAGAATGTTGTCTTTTGTCATTGACAGCAGCTGATAGAAATTTTATCTTGCTCTGCAGAAAGTGATGTTATAGAATTTTAAAATATCTGTATAAGCAGAGCTAGACTCCTTCCTTTTAGCTTTTAGTCCCTGTGAAAATAGCAGGCAACCGAACGCCTCTGAAAGTGTCAGTGGGAGCCTTGTTTTCCACCCTAGGGCTACCGAAGAGGAAGTGAATTCTGGAGCCAGCCCGAGCGTATTGGAGATGAGCTCACCGGCCTGACGATGACACTGACGCAGAGAGAACGTGGCTGCCCTGAGCCAGTCACTCGTGTGGGGAAACCTCACACTGTCCAGATGGAAACAGGTAAGGGAACACCGCAGAGAGGTGATCCCACAGAAACAGGGTACGAGTGTGGAGGGAGCAGCAGAAAGGAAAAGTGACTCCTGTGAGTAGAGAGTCCCTTCTGACAGCTGCAGCACAAGCTACTTCCTGGTCATCTGTTGGATTTCCTCTTTAAAACACAATGAGACCAAAATTTGGCTGAGAATGAAATTAATGGGCATGTGGGTATGTAGACATTGAGCTCCTGTATGGGCATCTCCACAGGTCTAAAGCCTCCAAAGAGGATTCCTTTCCATCTAACCTGGGATAAGAGTCTTTTCCTGAAACACCGGCGACAGGAGCTAAAATCTGTCCTAGAGGAGCTAGATGTTTATAAGCCGGTAAGACCAGAGGAGTGAGTATATTCTTTGCATCTCTTACTGTGTCAGATGCTGTAGTGTAACATAAAATTGCCAAGAGCTGGATCTGAAAAAGCATAGGAATCTATAACTTAGCCCTACAGTACTTATCTTGGAAGTTCCCCCATTTCCAAAGGGCTACACCCAAGAAAGAGTTGTCTGGTCTCCCTGCATGTTGCATGGAAAATAGGACCCTGAACCAGCAGCATGCAGCTGCCAAGACCTAGGCAATAAAAAACCCTGCCAAGTACTGGTGTAGGACTTCTATTTAGTGCCTCAGGGCAGAGGGAAGACACCTTTACCCATGTGGAAGACACGCATTTGAAATTATCTCCTGAAAGCAGGTAGCCCCTCCTCTTATAAACTGCACAAACCTCACGTTTTTCTTTCTGAAACCTGGCTCTGGGCTGAGAAATGTGTGTGGAGACTTTTCCCATCCATGCATCATTTGTAGTGGGGTGTGCAGTCATCTAGGATTTTTGGGAGACCCAGAATCAGTTTCTTCCTCATCTCTTAAACATTGGATGCTTCTAGGAACCATCATAGGAGCAAGATATCTGAACTTCACTTTACTGTTTTGAGTTGCTATGTTTGTCTGCTATTTTAACTTCATTTCTATATAAAAAGAGAAATCATGAGTTGGTCATTTTTCTGTATGTCCAGGATCTGGATGGACTGGAGGTGATCGGTAAAGGGCAGCCTTTCACATCTGTCTCAACAGAGCCTCTTCCCCATTCCACCACTTCGGAAGAGTCAAAGACCCTGTAAGTTTTACTTCATGTCAGAAATAAAGAAGTTGGGGTATGTATATCAGTTTCTTAGGGTATCCTTAACCATTCTTACCCAGAATACAGAGGAGT